AAAAAAGAAAAATGTATATTGAAACAAATTTGTTCAAGATGATTTTAACCATGGCCAAGTGGATATAGGGCATCTGAATATTGTTGATTTTTTGTCCACCTTGAAGGAGGCATGAAAGGCCATTGGTCACATATCTGTTGTACGTCGAAACATCTTATTGAACCTTATCAAGCATTATTAAATGCTACAAAAAAAAAAAAATAATATATAGAAACAAATTTTGTTCAAAATGATTTTAACCATGGCCAAGTGGATATAACACATCTGGATGTTGCTGATTTTTTTATCCACTCAGAAGGAGGAATTGATCATCTAATTAGTGATGTAAATATCCAAAAAAAAATATTTGTTTAATAGATGTTTGGCCAAGTTTGTTGGTATGTTTTAGTATCACTTTATTTTGTAAACATTTTTATTTGTTCTCATTATATTTTAATGATATGCTCTTATTATGTATTTTAATAATAAATTCTATGTTTAATATTCGCTTATGTTAATTTGTAATTTTTTTATTATATATATCTTATTTTATTGAAGAAAAAAATGGATATTCATCTGGTAGTACAAGATTAGTTAAAGGCTTTGGAAGAGTCAATATTTAATACCCGAAGGAACAAAGTTATAATAGAGGACGAATCATTTTCAACTAAGTTTCAAAGAAATTTATTAAGTTTTAAAGATATTCATCTGCATGGATATCATATCGAAACAACGAATAAAAGAGACATTTAATACCTCTATATTGCATCTATTATCTTAGGTAAGAAGTATATATCAAAAAAATTACCCACTTTATCTTTGGGATTGTATTGTAAAAAATTTGAAACTCATGCTATAATAAACCAAAAGTTTACTAATGACTTTAATCTTTCGCATGACTATTTGAGACATCCTTAATCAATAATGATGTGAAAAAATTATTGAAAATACATGTAGTCATCCATTGAAAAACTAAAAGATTTTGCAATCTAATGAAATCTCATGTTCTGCTTGTCATCAAGACAAATTAATTATAAGACTATCACTAGCTAAAGTTGGAATTGAATCTCTTACATTTTTGAAACGTATTTAGGGTGATATATGTGGACCCATACATTCATCATGTGTACCATTTAGATATTTTATAATTTTAATTAATATACTAACAAGATGGTCACATGTGTGTTCACTATCAATTTGCAATTTGGCATTTGTAAGATTACTCACCTAAATCATTTGTTTGCAAGTACATTTTCCTGATTACGTAATCAAGATTATTTGTCTTGACAATGTTGGTGAATTTACATCTTCAGCCTTTAATAAATATTGTATATTAGTTGGAATAACTGTTGAATAGCCTATTATTCATGTTTATACAAAAAATGATCTAACATAATCACTTGTTAAATACTTCCAACTGATTGTAAGGCCTCTGCTTATGAAAACTAAACTTCCCATTTCTACTTAGGATGCATGCTATTTTGCATGCAACATCACTTATACGCATTAGGCCAACTAGTTATCAAAAATTATCCCTTATAAAATTGGTTTATGGCTAGAAATCAAATATTTCTCATTGAAGAATATTTAAATGTGTAGTATATATCTCAATTTCTCCACCACAACACACAAGATGGGTCCTCAAGAGAGGTTAGATATATATGTTGGATATGAATCTCTATCTATAATTAAATATCTAAAACCACTAACAAGAGATTTATTAACAACAAAGTTTGTCGATTGTGATTTTGATGAAACAATTTTTCCAACATTAGGAGGAGAAAATAAGCAATTAGAAAAAGAAATTTCTTAGAATGCATTCTCATTATCTAATTTTGATTCGTACACAAACCAATATGAACTTGACGTTTAAAAGATAATTCATTTATAAAATATAGCAAATCAGTTGCTGGATATATTTATTAACATAAAGAGAATAATTAAATCTCATATACCAGCTGCAAATGCTTTTATTTGAGTTGATGTCCTTGTAAAACAAGGCACGCCAAAAATGTTAAAAATCAATCAACTCCAAAAATATAATCCTCGAAAAAGAACAGGAACCAATATACAAGATGGTCAAAAAGAGGAAACAGAAACTTTAGAAAAGACCCCTGACATAATTGATAAAATTCCAAAGAAATTCAAGTACTTGAAAAGTTTGAAAATGAAGATATCTCAATAAATTATGTCATGACGGCGAAAATATGGAACTAGAATGAAATAAATGTCAATAATATTTTTGCATATAATGTAGTGCTCAATATTATAAAAAAATGAGAATCTTGAACCTACATTTATTGAAAAATGAGACATAGAATTAATTGACTAATATGGAAAGATGCAATCAAGGTAGAATTGACTTCCCTTGCAAAATATAAAGTTTTTTTATTTGTAGTCCATACAACAAATGGTGTAAAACCAATGGGATATAAATAAGTATTTGGACAAAAACAAAATGAGAAAAATGAGATTGTGAGATATATAGCACGATTTATGGCACTAGGTTTAACCCAAAGACCTAGTATTGATTATGAAGAGAAATATTCTCTTGTGATGGATGCAATTATATTTCTATATTTAATTAATCTAGCAATACATGAGAAGATTGAAATGCATTTAATGAATGTAGCTACAGCTTATTTATATAGCTCACATAATATCGATATCTATATGAAAATCCCTAAAGGATTTAAGTTGCCTAAAGCACAAACACAATTCTCAAGAAATTTATTTAAATTAAATAAATATGTATATGAATTAAAGCGATCTGGACTCATGTGGTATAATCTCCTTAATGAATATTTGTTAAAGAAGACTATAAAAATTATCCTATATGCCATCTGTTTTTATAAAAAGATTTGGATATGAATTTGTCATAATTTTTATTTAAGTTGATGACTTGAATATTATTGGAACTCCTAAGAATTACCAAAAACAGTAGACTACATAAAGAGAGAAATTGGGATGAAAAACTTTGGAAAAATAAAGTTTTGCTTAGGTCTTCAAATTGAGCACTTAGATAAATGGAATTTTTTTCATTAATCAAATTATATAGCTAAAGTACTAAATAGTTTTATATGGACAAAGCTTATCCATTAAGTTCACCAATGGTTGTAAGATCACTAAATTTGAAAAAGAACCATTTTTTACCTTGTGAGAATGATGAAGAACTTCTTGTTCTTGAAATACCGTATCTTAGTGTTATCAAAGCATTAATATATCTTGCTAGCAATATATGATCTGATATATCATTTTCTGTAAATGTATTAGTAAGATATAGTTTTTTTCCAATTCGAAGACATTGAAATGAAATTAAACATATATTTTCATATCTCCGAAGAATAATGGATATGGGTTTATATTATTCAAATGTATTTAAATCAAATTTAATTAGTTATGCAGATGCATGATATTTATTTGATCTACACAAGGCTTATTGCCAGACAGGTTACTTATTCACATATAAAAGTACGATTATTTCATAGTGTTTTGTAAAATAAATTATAGTTGCTACTTCTTCTAACCATGTAAAAATTTTAGTAATTCATGAGATAAGTTTTGAATTTGTCTAGTTAAGATCTATTTCATAATATATTTAAGAAATATGTGGTTTGTTAACCAAGAAGAAAATTTCAATAATATTATATAATGATAACACTGCTTGCATAGCCCAATTAAAGGAAAAAAACATTAAAGGTAATATGCTAAAACATATTTAGTCAAAGTTCTTCTTGACTCATGATCTCTTAGAAAAAGGTGATATTAGTGTTTAATAAATTTGTTCAAGTGATAATCTAGCAGATTTATTTGCTAAAGCCTTTTTTATTACAATATTTGAAAAGTTAGTACAAAAAATTAGAATACGTTGTTTTAAGGTTTTTCCCATTAGGTTTTTTTAAATAATATTTTTAATGAGATAGTATTTCAAAAGCATATTCTTGAAAAAAATTATGTACTCTTTTTCCTTCATTCAGATTTTTTCCCACGAGGTTTTTTCTTGGTAAAGTTAATGATACATATTCTTAATACAATGGACATTTGAGAGAGAGTGTTATGAATATATTTATGAATGTCCATTATGTTATAATCCAAGAAGTTCAAATCAAGTCAAATAGTGCAACAGGCCAGACACAAGAAATATAATCTTATTTGAATTTTTAGATTTGATTATATATATCTAGATTTTGATATAGACTAAATTATATTAAAATTAAGATTTAAGGGGTTATTAGCTTATAATTAGACATCTCACTTCATTTGTAAATATACACTTGAATAAAATATTTGTTATTTTACTAATACTTTTCTCTCATAGTTATTCTTTCAATTTATATTTCATAATAATAATTTAATTTACTTCAAAATTGATTAATTTTTACTTCGAATCAAATCATTGACCTGATCCATGACCTTGTATGATTACCCTTTAACCATTGTTCATGCAAAATCATGGACTGCCATTGCACTACATATTATATGACTGTCATTAACAGAACATTAATTGAAGAAAATGAATATATTTTATAAAAGTTTCTTCCTCTATGAAAAGTTGAGGAGATTAAGAGTATACCAGTCACTTTCAATTAGAGAAAGATATTTACTTGGAAAATTCTTTTTTCTGTATTTCTTAATTTCACAATTGTCTTTTTGACAAACTTGTAGGTAACTAGTTGAGAATATTGAATTAAAATATATGCGCGTATATATATATATACATATTAGCAAATTGGATGACTGATAAGGAAGCATCCCGGTCATTTTCAGTGATAGGAAGATATTTACTAGGGAGATTCTTTCTTTTGTATTTCTTTAGTCCACGACTGACATCTAGGCAAACTAGTAGCTACCTGGTTGAGAATATTGAGTCAGATTATGACAAAATGTTGTGTCAGCTAGTGAGCTCGATTCCCGGTGCTTAAATATATTTAAATGCTTGGATTTATAATGCAATTGCTGATTTTTTTTTCCCCCCTTCAACTCGATAACTTAAAAAGCTGGATTTTAGTGGGGTAGAAGATATGGAGAACATTGAAGAACAAAGGGCGTGCCTTGAGTCACCACTGCTTGCTCAAGATAATGCATTGGAAGTTCGAAAGGGATCTGTCAAAGATGAGATCCTGGCGGAGGTGAAGAAGCAATTGTTGTTAGCAGGGCCTCTTGTGTCAGTCAATTTCTTGGTATTTGCTTTGCAGGTTATCTCAGTAATGTTTGTGGGTCATCTTGGGAACCTACCACTTGCTGGTGCTTCCATGGCAACTTCCTTTGCTTCAGTAACTGGTTTTAGCTTGCTGGTAAGTTTCCGATCTAAGCACTTTTTTTTTCCTTTTGAACTCGATAGTAAGATGAATTGAACCTGACAATTCCTCCTTTTTTTCATCATTCACTCCTTTTCAAAGATTGTATAGTTGTCTCAATACTTTCAGCCTCCACGCTCTACGTTCAAAGCATTTTCATTCATGTACAGGAAGTTGTAATCTTTTATGCCTTAACAACTTGTCGATTTGAAAATTCTAATTGATTTATCACCTAATCTATCATTTTTAATAAAATCTTAAACTTTCGTTAAAACGAATAAATTCCCATTTATGAAAATCAATTAAGATTTATGAGTATAATTATATTTGAGAAAAATATTAGTATCTAAAAGATACCGGTTCAAAGAATGATATAAATTAATCATTTGTAATTCTATTTTAATCTTAATTAATATTTTTTTAATTTCATATTTACTTTTTTTCCTTATTTTTTTATTATTTATATATTTTTTAATTTATTTTTTATCTTTTTCTTACCCATTATTAAATATTGGAGAATTTTTTTTCTCACTTCAAGAGTATTCTCAAGAAAATAGGCTTATTTTCTTGAAAAGGCTATTCAGATTGATTCGGTATTTTATGAAAGAGTGTCTAGATTTTAAACTTTATATATTTCTATTTTTAAATTTTTATTATTTTACTGTTTTTTAATTATCAATTTTATTAAATACATGAAATCTATTATATTCTTTTTTTGGTTTGTTTTTTGTTTTGTTCTTTATTCTTCCTATGTTTCTTTTGTTTCGGATTTTCCTTGCCTGCTTGCTTTATTATTGATAGTTTCATTAGACATTTGCATTTCAAACTGATACAAAACATGAGATCGAATGGAAAAAGGATGTAATCTTATTGTATTTGATTACCTCACCAGCATGTCATAATCCAATGAACAACTCTTTAATTCAAGTCTTCACATTTGATTAAAATAGACTTTTCAAAACATGTAATATAAGTTAGGGTTAGGGGTTATGAAGGAACGGATAAAATAGGTCCAAATTATACATTTGAAGGATTTCAAACCATAGAATTATTTTTCGTCGCATCAAGCATGAACGCAAATCCTATACCCAGACATGGTGCCTCAGTCTTGCCCCAATCTCGAAATTATACCACTTGTCCAAATTATTAAAATCCCCAAATAGCTTGTACTATGTAGATCAGAAAGAAAAGCAAGTGAAGAACAATTAGGACTCCCATTTAATCAGATTTACAGTGAAACAAGTTCCCAATGTGACAGAAATCCTAAGGAACATAACAATATCATTCATTGGGAACTTCTCGAGAAAGCAGTTCCCTAGTGTTCTAGCATCCTCTCAAAACCAGCTTCCATATTTTCTGGACAATTAAACCAAAATACCCTCTGCCCTCCTTTCCATCATTTACACTTCTTCAGGAATAAAAGGCAGCCAACACCGTCCCAAGAACAAATCTAGTCGAAAGCAAAATAAAAGCACATCAGGTTGCACGTAGGGTGATGTTATGAGCAAAATAATTCCAATCGTGTCGGGTTTATTTTTATTATATTTCATGAGTATCATCGTATATAGCAATCAACAAACAGTTGAAGGCAAAACCCATAAAATTTTAAGTCAAAATAGAAGAAAAAACATATTTTTCATTCACTGTTAATAAACAGAAAATTGTTTTTCCTCATTCCTTCACTCTCTCATCCCACCACCAAACTCAAGTCAATCTGAATAGAGATTTCGGTCTGAAAAACCAGGCCATGCCAATTTATCACATAGTGTTTGGCAAGCCGAATATCGGTGATTGGCGTGGACTATCATCTGTTTTGAAGCGTTTTGATGGGTTGTCCATGTTTTGTTAGGTAATTGGAGTAGGGTCAAACCTTGTCGTGATCAGTGGTTGGTCCATTTAGGATTTTAATAATTTGGACAGGTGACATGATTCTGGGATTGGGGCAGAAGCGGGGGCATCAAGTCGAGACACAGGATTTGCGTATATCAAGGATTAGCCTTAGCCTTGGCATTCTTTCACATTCCTAATCACCTTACCCTTCCATCATTTTTCTTCTTTTTCTTTTTTTTTTTTAATATTTTCACCCTCAAACAAGGAGTTCAGAACTTCTCATAACTCAATTTGTTCCAAAAAAACCCTCTTAAAAATCCCAAACCCAAAACCTTCATTCAAGATATAAAAACCATTTCCCCAATTCCACCAATTAAAAAAACCCTAAAAATCTAAAACACGCAAACCGAGAACTTTCACCATTTTTTGCATGTTCTCTTTTTTTGGTATAATATTAAAAATGAGTGTCTACAATTTAGAAGCTTCATAATGTTACCTTTCTAACTTTAAATCCTTATTTTTATCTCTATGGAATTTTAGCCATTTTACATTAGCATTCAACAATAAGATTGTTTTCAATTGCAATCTTTGCAGCTTTCAGAACATTTTAAATTATTTTGTGATATTTTCTAGGGTCAATCCCCTTGTTTTTCCCTGTACGATAAAATTATAAGCCCTTGATTCTATAATTTTTTTTTCTTGACGGTTAGAGAGGAATGGCAAGTGCGTTGGATACATTCTGTGGTCAATCTTATGGAGCTAAACAGTATCACATGCTTGGAATTCACTTACAAAGTGCCTTAATTGTTATGTTATTGGTTAGCATTCCCCTTGCTTTTATCTGGGCCAATGCTGGTGACATTCTTTTGTTCTTCAAACAAGATCCTGAAATATCAGCTGAAGCAGGACAATACGCTTATTTCATGCTGCCAAGCATTTTTGGTTTCGCTATCCAAGAATGCCATATCAGATTCTTACAAACCCAAAACAATGTAGTTCCAATGATGGTTATGTCAGGATTTACAACATTGTTTCACATCGTTACTTGCTGGATTCTGGTGTTCAAGTCTGGCCTTGGAAATAAAGGCGCTGCTTTGGCAAACACCTTCTCTTACTGGATTAATGCTTTACTGTTAATAATATATGTCAGACTCTCTCCCTCTTGTAAGATGACTTGGACAGGCTACTCAAAGGAAGCCTTCCATGGCATTGCCAAGTTCTTAAGACTAGCAATTCCTTCTGCTATTATGCTCAGGTAACCTTCTTTTTCCCTCCTAACTTAGCTTCATATTCATGTTAGGTGTTTAATAGTGATTAATAATGTTTTGACGTTTGAATTGAAGAACGATTTGTCTCTCATAGCTTACACTTCTTGGAACAGCTTGGAAGTCTGGTCATTTGAGATGATGGTTCTATTATCTGGCCTTCTTCCCAATCCAAAGCTTGAAACATCAGTTTTGGCAATCAGGTTTGTGTTCCATCCGATTCTGATTGTGGACATATGCGATAGCTTTAAGTGTATAATAAATGGTATTGTCATCAATATTATTGACCAATTATGAGATTGATATTCCAGCCTTAATACATGTTCAACAATTTATATGATACCTCTTGGGCTTAGTGCTGCAGTGAGGTGAGTTCAAGTTAATTTGGTTGATACGGTCTGTCAAACTTCGTATGATTATCTTCTTATTTTGTTTATTTCCCTCTTCATGATAATTCTATTTTCTCTCCTAATTAGCACTAGAGCTTCCAATGAACTAGGAGCTGGACGACCGCAAGCTGCTTCCCTAGCGGTCTGTGTTGCAGTGGCCATGGTGGCCACTGAAGGAATTTTGGCAGGTATTGTCTTCATTTTGGGTCACAAAGTTTGGGGCTATTTCTACAGCAAAGATAAGCAAGTAGTGAAATATGTGGGAGAAATGTTGTTGTTGATTGCAACCTCCCATTTTGTTGATGGAATTCAATCTGTGCTTACAGGTGAGTGGTACGTGACAACTTACTTGTTCTACTTTTTTTACACTTATTTTCTTTACACTTGACTTTCAAGCTTTGCTTGTGTAATGAAAAGAACAACAAAATCTCATCAAAATTACCCAAGATTTTACACAATCAATAAAATAACCAAAAAAGAAAGAAATCAAGTACACAAAAATATAAAAAACTTATATGATTCAGTCTTTTGATTACGTATGTCTACTAGCACAACGATTAGAAAAAGATTAATTGATTATTTGTTGTCTTAAAAGCTTGTTAGTTTACAATAGTTCAATTGTTTAAATTTATTTTCCTTTGTTATGTTTTTCTTTTCTTTATATATAATATGTTTTTCACACACTCATTATGCATGCATGCGTGCATGAGCCTTATACCTAGGATTTGTTCCTTTAAGGAGGAAGTAAATTATCTCTGCTCTCTTGAGATGATAACCTCTGCATAGGCCAGTGAAATACTTCCTTTCAAATTATACCTTTTGCCATTGGTAGCCTATAATGGGTAAGGATTGGGGTGCCTTACTAGTCCAGAGTGTACAGTGAAGAACAATTTGAGAACCTTTAAGCCTTGTGTCTAATCTAAGCCCAGCATATAATGAACCTTATGAAGCCAACCTTAGATAAAACCTTCCTATCCTATTGTGTAAAAGATACCTAAAAATAGGTACACAGAAGAATAACACTCACATCTTTACTCAATTACTACATGCACTAACTTGCTTTCTTTTGTTTCACATCCATGCATTATAATCATCCAAGAATATTCATTTTTGCCAATTTAAGAAATGATTTACTAGTTCAAAATAGTCAAGCTAAGGCTCTAGAATCCTCACCGACACATTGGAAGATTTTGAGAACTTGAGGTCCCAAAATATTTTGATCACCAAAAAATTCTAGAACAATCTATTTGTTTGCAAGCTAAAGTTATAGAGGACAAACACCCGACTCCAATGGATAAAGTGAAAAAAGGTTCAAGAAGAGATTAGGGAATGGTTGATCAAGATGATGAAATTGATGATGAAGATTGACAAAGGAAAAAAAGTGGTCGAAGAACTTGCTAACCTAGCAAGCCAGTAGACCTCATGCAATAATGATCCCATATTTAGTCCACCCCAAGACGAACCACAAGCATCTCAAAGGCAACATCAGTTCCTCATACAACCTGTGGGAAGATATCTTTACCATGGCGAACAATCATTGACACAAGGAGCCATCACTGGAGTGAATCTTGCTAATTTAATTAAAATTATAGATTTGGTTGACCCTAGAGAACAAAAGTAGTTAAAAAGAAGTATGTCTAAAGCTATGGATAATTTGGGAACACTAAAGAAATTTGACCTTTTAGAGAAACAAATGCATGATATAGAAAGGACAAATGCCTTAGTTTTCATCGATGTGTTAAAACTTAGTCTCATACTTAAACTAGTCATTTGTCCCAAGTTCAAGGTTTTAGACTTTAAGAAATATGATGGGGACTAAATGTCCAATGACAAATGTCACAATATATTGTCATAAGATGGCTGCTCACACTTACGATGACAAGTTATTGAGCCACTATTTTCAAGACAGTCTTACAAGATCAGATATCACGTGGTATAATAAACTAGATAAAAGTCATGCGTATTAATGGAAAGATTTAACACTGGCATTAATAGCTCAATACAAACATGTGGCAGACATCGCTCCAGACCACTTGACCCTACAAGGCATGGAAAAGAAAGCTAATGAAGGCTTTAAGGACTATGCTTGGAGATAGAGAGATGTCACCTCATAAGTCCAACCACCATTGATTGAGAAAGAATAACTATCATATTTGTTAATGCTTTAAAGGCCACATACTATGAAAAGCTAATTGGAAATGTAAAAAAAATTACAAACATGGTGTTTTTAGGTGAAACAATCGAGAATGCAATTAAAAGTGGCAAGATCGAAGGAGAGGATTCAGTTAATCCTAAAATAAAAAACGTGTCAAACAAGAAAGAAAACGAAATATAAGCAATTATATATAAAGGGCAATAAATTGGGAGTTTCATCCCTAATCATCTGTATCCCTTTTACCAACCTTACTACCCCACTCTGAATAACATCTCCCAAAATCCATATCCTTACCAGTTGGTTCCATAACCAACCTTCCAGACAAATATCCATCCACAAACACCCACGCCTTCACCTATATCTCAACCATTTTCAAATTTTCTAGGAAATTTTTTTTCAAAACCTTTGAGCACAATTTCAAATGCTCTGAGTAATCCTTTTTAGATCCTCTGGGCATATCTTTAAATCCTCTAAGGAATCCTTTTTCAAATACTTTAGGTAATACTTTCTTAAAACCTTCGAATACACTTTCAAATGCTTTGAATAATTCATTTCAAAATCCTTAAGTACACTTTCAAATGCTCCGGATAATCATCTTTAAATCCTTCAGGTACATCTTTCAAATCCTCTAGATAACAATTTTTCAAAACCTTTGGGTAACCATTTTCAAAACTTCCAAGTAATGATTTTCAAATCCTCTAGGTACATCTTTCAAATCCTTTGGGTAACTATTTTTCAAAGCCTTTGGGTAGCCATTTTCGAAATCTTTAGGTAATCGTCTTCAAATCCTCCAAGTATCATTTTCAAAGACTTTTTAATCTTTAAAAGTTGTAGAGCCTTGTTGAAAGGAGCTTTATATAATTTCCAAAAGTCGTTAAGCGTCATATTCAGATAAGGAGCCTTTATTCATTTTAAAGGTATGTAGCCTCATTCCAGATGAAGGGGTTATTCATTTCAAAGTTATGTAGCCTCATTCCAGATAAAGAGTTTATCCTTTCAAAGTTACGTAGCCTCATTCCAGATGATGAATTTAATTTTTTTTTTTTAAAGTTATGTAACCTTATTCCAAATGAAAGAACTTATTCCTTTTGAAAGTTACGTAATCTTATTCCAAATAAGGAGTTTAATCATTTTAAAGTTACGTAGGCTCCAAATGACGAGGTTTTTTAAAAAAAAGCTTTGTAGCCTCATTCCAAAATAAGTAACTATTTCTTTGAAAAATTATCTTTTTAGCCAAAATTATGTCTACGTCTTTACACAATTCCTAGTTTTCAAGAAATATGCAAAGAGAAATAGTTGTAAACATCCTATTTTATCCAATGTGTCTATTGAATTTGAAAAATAATATATATATATGAAAATTAAAAAAAATAACGAAAAAAGGAGACAAACATGAAATAGAGTAAAGATTAGCTTGCATTAATCCTAATCCTAGATGAACATAAAAATTTAGAAAAGATTAAGTTAGATTGCATCAAAACTCAAGAAATCAATTCAAGAAGAAATAGAACACATTTGGTATAAATATACTCAAGAAATCAATTCAAGAAGAAATAGAACACATTTGGTATAAATATACTCAAGCCTCATATAAGAAAACACACACAAAAAAAGAAAAAGGCAAAACCTAACGAAAATGTTTGGTAGAGGCGAGAAAATAGTTTTAGAGTTCTTGGGTTCTTGGGTTTAGATTTTTTTCTAGATCTAGGAGAATCAGTTTAGTTTATAAAGAAACTATTATGATTAAAGAGAGAAATAAGAAAAAGAAGTTCAGAAAGAGACACAATAATCTCAATAAGACACTATTTTGCATTAGCTAAAAAGAGATTTGTCGCATGGATCAAATCAATCTGATCCGCGCTGTTATCTGGGTTTGCATGAACCCATCTGGGTAATCTTGGCCCATTAATCTGATTTCTTTTTTAGGTTTTTTAGCCCTATTAAGTAAGTTTCCTTTTTATTTCTTTTTATATTGAAATTAGTCTATTCATATTTTAGCATTTTTATCAAAGTGTTTTCTTAATGTAATGACCATTGAACCAATTTTTTTAATTATAATTTTGATTTTGATTTTTTTTGTCATTTAAAAATTAGGAGTTTACTCAAATTTATGAAAATTCTCCAATGATGAAATCTCAGGAATGCCAAAATAGGTGGCTTCTTGAGAATTTTTAGGTGAGAAAATCTTTCTAAATTATGACATAAGAGTCAGAAATTTTGAAAAATTTTCAATACCAAGGATTCAAATATATATTTAAATAGAAAAAAAACATAAAAATATAGAATCAAGTAGATAATTTCTCCAATGATGAAACCTAAAGGATGCTAAAAGAGGTGACTTCTTGAGAATTTCTAGGTCAAAAAATCTTCCAAAATTATGCTATAAGAGTTTGGAGATTTTGAAAATTTTTCAATACAATCAATCTTTATTTATTTATTTCTAAAAAACTAACAAAATTAATAGAAATTATGAAAATAGAAAATGGGTAAAGGAAATAAAATTGAATATTGAACTAGATTTCATTTACTAAGGCATAAAGGACATATAATTAATTAGGTACCAATTAAATGGACGTTGTGAAGGTGCTAATACCTTTTTCATGCATAAGTGAACTCTTGAACCTAATCTACTTCATAGACTAGAACCTATTCTTTTTAATGAACCCAAACAAGTCTAGGACCTCATTAGGAAAAATAAATTCACTTGGGTGATCAATTGCACCTAAATAAAAAGGAATGATGACAACTCCTGTTTACATCAAATTGTTGAATTTCATGACTCACACATTATGACAACACGTATTTAGTTTTATCATCTATCTCTCACCTATATAACCCAATTCATATGCCATAAACTTGTGACATCATCATCAGAATCATTAGATTAAACTATGAAAACAATTCTGATAATCGTGCTTCTCACTAAACAATAAAGACCTTCAAACAATTTTCCCTTCATGATAGTTAGGACAACTCTAAAGACCATTCTAACCAATAAATTTGCAAACTTTTTATATAACAAGTTTAAGGATATCAAGTTCATTTCAGTGTTCAGGACATGTCTCACCTTAAGTATCCTTACCGTATCATCAAACATATTGAATCAAATAGTGTCAATCACAACATTTAGGAGAGAATGATCATCTCCTAATTGTATAACAACCGTATCAATAGATTGACTGGTTGTATATCAATCATGCTTACGACATATATGGAAACAACAATATAAATTCAATATCCATGTATTAGATTGTTTACCATTGGTAACCACAAGAATACTATCAGTTTCCTCAAAACTATCATTTGTAAGCATTAGAATATAATTGCCTTGTTCAAAATTATTTGAGTCATCTTCTTCCACGATTACAACATTCTCAAGCTTGCTAATCTTTTCATTAGCCTTGAATTTGGTGCAACATTGATGATAGTACCATTTTTTATCACAATTTCAACAAATCCTCCATTTTGCTCTAGACTTAAATTTTGATCTAGATCTATCTTTCCCTCTCTTTTTTTTGGCTAAACCCTTCACTTTGCCTCCATCTTTATTCACATTTAGGATTTTCACTTGATTTTCTCTTCGGATACCATCAACTTTCTTTTTTAATTCTTTGGAGTTTCAAGATACTCTAACATCCTTAAAAGTGAGGACATCTCAACTACATAGTATAGTATTCACATAGTTTCCATATGCTAGCAAAGAATACAAAGAAATTTGGGCTTGATCTTTATTATCAATTTTTAACATCAATATTTTTCAAATCAAGAATAATTCTATTAAATTCATCAATGTGAGTATTGACCAACGTAACTTCATCCATCTTAAGAGCATATAATCATTGTTTCATAAGAAGTTGATTAGTCAAGGACTCAGTCATGTAAATGCTCTTAAGTTTAAGCCATGTTGCAATAGAAGATTCTTTGTTTGTGACTTCTCTTAGCACTTAATCAAATAAAGCTAATAGAAAGCCATTATGTGCTTTCTCCATAAAATCATTTTTGTGACCATCAATAGATTCATGAAAAGATAGTCCTTTCTTTTTAATGTCTTCAAGAGTTCTTGTTGCACTAATAACGCATGCATCTTAAACGCTAAAGGCTAAAATCATTTCTTCCTCTAAATTAGTCAATCTCATACTTAGTGGATGAAGATGCCATTGTGAGATTGAGATTGACTTAGGATGTTGAAGCTTTAATACCAATTTATTGTCAAAACAGTGGAGTAATCTCACCAAGGCCTACCAAGATCTCACACAATCAATAGAATAAAGAAAGAAAGAAAGAAATCACTCTCACAAGGATATAAGAAATTTATGTGGTTCAATCTTTAATGACCTATGTCCATGGACACAACAGCAAAAATTCCCTGAGAAAAAATTAGAAGATTACAAGATTAGTCTCAAACTCACAACTCTTATCCCACTTACTCATAAATCTCTTCTTTTAAATTTAGGCTCTCACTAAACCGTTTTTTTTCTTAAAAAATAAAAATTTTATTAATTCCAAAAGCTTGCATGCCATAACAAGTGTTAAATCTGGTAGATAAAAAACTTCTAGTGACATAAGAAGTCAAGCTAAACTCTCTCTTAATTTAACGATATTTTTTTAATCCTTTATGACCTTTTTATAGGACTAAGTACAAGAATTTTATCCTAATCAAACAAAATTTAAAGTATCTTAGTCTAACTAAAATTCAAAACCATCATAACAAGTTGTTTCCCTTCTAATTAATTTATTTACTCTAATGGAATGTATAGTATAAGAAGGAAATAATGGAACGATTGCTACAATATAAACTAGTGTGATGCTCGTGCATTACGTTCGGGATTGCTAATTGTTTTTTTTTTTAATTCAGTTTAAAGCGGTTGGTGTAATAGACATGTAAATATGTAATGTAAATTGTATTTGTAAATAAATTGCTGATGAATATTTGGGCTATATAAAGCATTTTCTTACCAAACATTCATGCAATATAAGTTTACCCATTATGCGAGCATCACATGTTTAAACAAAAGTGATGATTATATTGTTGAGGAAAGATTGGTGCCTTGATACAAAAAGGAGAAAGCTTGTTGTTTTGTAGTTAGCAAGACTATCTTGATAGTGTCATGTACAAAAGTTGATCCAAAAGCTTGGAATAAAGTTGTGTATATTGAACAAGGATTGAGCAAGACTACTACCTTCACACAAAAAGGAAAAGGCATTTTGGTTTGCAATCGCTAAAACATTCTAGCAAATCCCAACACAGATTCAATATGGCACTAAAGAGCAAAACCAAACAATAAACAAAAGACCAAAACACGTAGACTATAGAAACACACTAAGCAAATCAAAACAAAATGAATGAAACATACAAGAACCAACAAAGCACAACAAATCAAAACCAAACTGTAACCATAACATCGGCAATAAGAGTAAAAAATAAAACAGGCAAGAAAATAAAAGGAAAATAGTAAGGAGAAAGGTTCTTGAATGGATTAAATAGAGCAAAAATACCAAAATGTATGAATTAGTTTTGGCAAATCCCAAAAAAACCCTAAGCAAAGTAGAAGAAAAAATTTCAAAAGACCAAAAGAGACTTCAAATCTCTAAATAATTTCAACAAACCCCAACATGTATTCAATATGGCATGACATTACAAAATCAAATAATTGAACATGTCACCAAAGCACAACTAACAAACGGGGTAGCAAGAAGCCATTCGACATTCATTATCTACTACGAGCCAAGCCTCTAAAATAAAAAGTGGAGTAGAGCTAAAATTCTTGCGATTGATAACCGAGCCCTTAAAATAGGAACCTAAGTAGATCAAAAACAGCTACCATACATAGTCAACGAAGCCAAAACCCAAAAGTGTAATCAATTTGACAAAAAGAAGAGCAAGCAAAAAGAGCAAAAAAATGAAGGAAAATTGAAAAACATCAACCGTGCCTCATCAGATCTGAAGGCTAGAGCCAAAAAAATTAGCCACATGTGGGAGCAAGCAAAAGGAGTAAAAAAATGAAGGAATAGTCTAGAAGATCAACCATGCCCCATAAATCTCAAATCTACAAAAAAAAATCAACCACGTGTCAAATGATTAAAGCTTTATGTGGAGCAAAACCAAAGCTTGAACGTGTCACAATTTGGAAGCCCTCTTGGGGTTTCCTTTCAATATAGTTATAGATATGCATTTCTTTGCTTGTAGTTGGGTTATTTGTACATGTGTTGTCAGAACTATCTATATGTTATTTTGCTTTTGGCTCTTTGAAATTTACGATATTTATCCACAAAAAATTGAAAAGAAAAATTACAGGCGTTGCTAGAGGATGTGGTTGGCAGAGGATAGGGGCCTTGATTAATCTCGGAGCATATTATCTTATGGGTATTCCTTCTTCAATTATTCTAGCTTTTGTTTACCATATTGGAGGGAAGGTAATAATTTAAATTTTAATTGTGTTCAAGGCTTTCCAATATTTTTGCTTAGCTTTGTACACTTCCATGGTAGGTCAGAGTATAGTATGACATCAATCCCTACTTTAAATATTGTTCACAGGGACTATGGACAGGAATTATAGTGGCACTTTTTGTGCAAGCATCATCTTTAGCCATTGTAACTCTCAACACCAACTGGGAGCAAGAAGTAACGCTCCTTTGCAAGTATTTAAGTCATGTAGGCATATATAGTACTCCTTTTTAAGCTCTATCTAAAATTCTACTTTTCCTACTTGCAGGCAAAGAAAGCTACTGATAGAGTGTGTAGCACAACAAATTCAACAGATGCATTGTCATAAAGAGAAAAGATGACTTTGAATGTAGTACTATTAGTTTCAAAATTCCAAGGCCTCTTTTGAAGCAACAGGAAATTTGACGACCAAAATAGGGTGCCGATTCCCTACACTGATTATGTGATAAGTTTTAGTTTCCAGTTAGAAACAAAGCAAAGTTCTTTAACTACATTGAAAACCAGAATTAGATGTTTTTAATTCTCAAATACGACAAATTTGTCTCTTTATAATGTTTCAATTTTATAGTATTGCTGAAAGACAAATGCAAGTTAACTTTAGAAAAGGATTCGACAATACTTGGTTTGTTTTCTTTTATCGAAATAGATATACCAAAAAGCTTTTCCTTTGCTTGCGAAAGGTGCTAACTTCAAATTTTATTGAGTACTTGCGCCATGTCTATCTAATGTCTACACTAGAAAGAAACATATCCACTTTAAGATTACTAACTAAATTTGTTTTGATTGGTATGGTAGATTTGTTGAAAATGAAGATATTCACAATTTCAAGGTTCATGAACTACCCTCTTTCTGCTATTTATGAGAAGCAGATGACTTATTATAGGTGCTCTGATAGATGAGAAGTTGCAATTTATATTTAATACGATCAATACTAGTACCATTTATAATAATATTTGAATTTAATTTTTTTATTCAAATATTTATTATTTTCTAAAATTTACAAAGTTGCGTTAAATAATTATGTTTCTTCTTAAATTAACTAGAATTAACCCCATATGTTGTGCTTGGATGAAATAAAAACCATTGATGGTAGCGTGGATGACAAAAAATATATGCAAAAAAGTTAGTACAGTTTTGCTATGTGAGAAAGTATAGTTGTTTTTTATAATTGTATGCATTCATTTGCATATATTCAAAGAAAAGTGAATGCTCATAAATAAAATTGAGATGATGATATGCCATTGAATTTATTGCTCTATTGCTGCCAGTTTAAGCAAAAGTGTTCAATTCAGGGTGTTGCCTGTCAACAAAAAATATAGGGTAATGTTGGGCATCATTGTAAGCAAAGTTCTAGAATATCTTGCTATTGAGGGGTGGTCAAAAAGTCTTCAGTGAGGTTGGTGTTTGATGACCTGGTAGTCTTGGAAGATCCTCTATAGGGGTAAGAAAGAAATCAAAAGTTAGGCATCATAATAAGTTGATCAACTATGATATCAGTCAAATATATATATACTAAAAATCAGTAACTATGGAGAAGAAATATATATTCTATTAACATGTAATGCTGTGAAGCAGTGGTAATAGGTGGTATCAAATTATGGTAGATTTATTGTACTTTAGCAATAAAGAAATTTTTTCAGAGCATGAACTTTACAATTTCTGAAACATAAAATTATCAGTAATAGATTTGCAAAAGAAGATCACTCCATTTTTTGATCGAATATTGTAATGAGTGTCAAATTAATATTTCTAGACAGTAATAAGGGAAGAAAAAGAAAAAAAATGAACTCATTGATAATAACAAACATATGATCCTATTCAAGTTAAACATTACTATCAAGTTAAATTTCTACTATGATATGTTTAACAAGAAAAACTCATGCAATGAATTAGTTTCAAGCAATAACAAACAAAGTAAAACAAATAGGATGTAAGTTGACGCCCAGTGATAGTAGATGAGAAAGCGAAAGAATTTATCAATTATACCTAGTTTGTATTTCATGGTAAATGATGATTCCCTTTGTTGACAGTGTTGCTTTTGCATGTAGACTTCGGGAAAACTTCCCAAACTACTTGACTTTGCTGCCACTTGTATTATGTTAATAATGCTTGCATTGTCAAAAGATGGTCCAAATTTTAGATGAAAAAATCATCCTTCTTCTTGCTAAAGAAAGAAAAGGTCATACAGTAGCTTGCTGATTTGTTTGACCGCCAATCCTTCCTTTAACAATAAAAAGGATTTTTTTTTGCATTGAAATTGGACTATCAATGATAGAACAAAACATTGCTAATCTTAACCTTCAAGACCATTAAATAATTAATTTGACAAAAAAAAAATCATTTGTAGAATGAGACAATAAACACAGACTAAATCACACAAACGTGATAACAGAGTCACCTAACTTAAAGGCTATAAGCATGATTTGGTAACACAAATGCACAATAATATTTAGAAATAGAACAAACTAAATTAATGTATCTTACATAATATTGAACAGAAATTAAAGCCAAAAGTGCTATTTGTGTCTGCTAAACATTAAATCAAAATAGGATTTGTAACTCTAAACAAAATCTAATGAAATGCTTGACCTCACCTGAATAATCGATTTTTTTATACAAGTCTCCTGTAAAAACAAAAAAAATGACAAAGAAATCAATTGCAAAAACATATGAACAATGAAAATAAAGTAAATGGAAAAAATACAACAAATACAGTAATTGAAGAAAATCAATTTAAATCTAAAAAATAAAAAACATATACACACACCAACTATTATTCAATAATAAGACAAAACATGAAAGACATATAAAGGACAATTATTAAGCATAAACTAAATCTGAAACAAAACTTAACTTTATTACACTCAAATTAATTAATACTAATCAGCTACTCTTAATGTACAATAATGACTAAACCCAAGAGACAAAGACAATAGAATTAGTATTTGTATGAGCAACTTTAATATAAAAACTATGGACAAATGATAGCATAGTACATGATGGCCAGCAGTTAATGATAGAGACATCACTCAAAATAAAAATAAAGCACTAAATGTAAAAGAGAAACATAAAAAAGAATGAAAATAATGAATTGTTAAGTCAAATTTAGATCATAAATATTAACGAACAATCGCAAAACACAAGGAACACTTATAAAAAAGCAATATCTAATTCTCGATTTAAAAAAAATAAATCAATAAACAAAGAAAACAGAAAATAAAATAAAATGCAACAATTCAAAAGAAAAGTAAATGGGAATACTTTACAATATATGTTGGTAGCCTACCTGAATAATGCACAGATTGATTACTAACTCTAAACAAAATGTTATGTTCTACAAACAAACTGAACATTTAACATGAAGTATATGTTAAAGCACAGTCAACAACCCTAAACAAAATCTAATGGGGAAATTGACCTCACCTAAATAATCGATTTCGTTACCCAAACCTCTTCCAAAACAAAAAAATAAAAAAAAAAGGAAAGAAGTGAGTTATAAAAGTGCATGAAGAATGAAAACAAAATAAATGAAAAAAATACAACAAATATAGTAATTAAACAAAATTGATTTAAATCTAGAAAATCAAGAAAATATACAAACACACCAAAAATCATTCAACAATAAGACAAAGCATGGAAGGCATATAAAACACAATCATTAAGCATAAACTGAATATGATACAAAACGTAATCTTATTGCACTCAAATTAATTAATACTAATTAAATTCTCTTAACTTTGAACACCATTAAACAGTGAATTGTACAAAAACAATTCATACCAATACCAACATACTATTGACAAAACCTACATTTAGAGTCAATACCATGTTTCAATTGCAACTCAACAATTAGAAGAAAGACTTATAATTTTTTAAAAAATAAACATATCCTTTAAACACCATCTAATAGAAAACGTAAGCAAAAAAACGTGTATTACATTACATAGACATAGTTTACAAACAAAGAAAAAAAATTAAATAAAACATAAAACACATATAAAACAAAATGAATAAGCCTAATAGAAAATGATGTTAAACTTAATTTTATTTTGGTAAGCATAATAATGTTCTATAAATACAACAAATAATTAGCATGAAATACATATAAGTTACAATAAAAAAACCCTAGACAAAACCCAGTGAAAAATTTAACCTCACCGGAATAAGCAATTTCTTTATCCAAAACTCCTACAAAATAAAAAATAAAAAAGAAATCAATTAGAAAAACTTAAATCAATTAATACTAATCAATAGGTCTAAAGTTTGAACACCATAAAACAACGAACTCAAGCAAAAAAAATTTTCATTCCAAAAACATGATAATGTTGACAAAACCAACATTAACAACTAATCACATATTTCAACTCCAACTTAAGAAACAGATGAAACAAATTCGATTTTATTAAAAAACATCTTTTAACCACAATCAAGTAAAAAACATAAGCAAAAAAAAGTGTGTATTATGTTGTACAAACAAAACAAATATCATTGAATAATAAAGCAAAGCACTAAACACAATGAACGCATAATCAATAATTGCAAATTGAATCTAGTGCTAGATGCATTCATACAAAATATTAAAAGTTAAAATAGATGTTAGATATATTCATGCAAAGCTTTAGTAATATTTTTTGGAAAATATATGCCAGATTTGTTTTTCTCATGTTTATTAAACCACATTAAAAATTATATGATAAATTATTAGAGTACTTGCTTATAGAATATAAAAACTTTACCTTCACAAAGTCTACCATATTCTATATCAAAAAAAAAAAGATTAGCATTTTTAGTAATAGATTAGGTTACAAATGCAAATTTATAACTCTCATTTTTTCATTAAATTCAAGATCTCTTTTCTACAATTAAAATAAAATGAACTACTATTATTAGATTCAAGTGAGTCAAATATCTGGTCAACGAAATCATCTTATTAGTATTACATAAATTTCTATCCTTGAACATGCAATAAATTTTCAAATACTCATCTATTTAAAAAGCTTCAAATTGGATTATTAAAAATTATCAATAAAAGTTTGCAACTTGTATAAACGTAAAATATCAAAAGAGACAAAAAGGGCAAAAAAATACAAGAACACATAAAAGCATAGATGGTAAGATGAAAAATACTCAAAGAAGACAAATAGTGCTAGACTTCAAAAGGCGAAATTGAAGTAGTAAACACAAGAACGCATAAAAGCATAAACGGTAAAAGGAAAGAAATGCAAACAAAAGGAAAAAGATAATGAAAGAGTGAAAATATTGTATTACACTTCTGAAACCCACTAAACAACCTCGGCAAAGACAATTGAAGACCCATGATTGACATCGAAAAGACAAGATCAAAAGAACAAAACACTGCATCAAATTCAAGTAAGCCATGTTTACTAGTCATACAAACCATAGCCGTTGGTTTCAAATCCCCATGAACCCAAAACTTTAACGTCATTGTGGAAAGACAGAAAGAATAGGGGACAGTAAAGAAAGAATGAGGCGAACAA